GAAAAAGTTGTAGTCTTGGTTTCAGAGAAGCATTTATGGAGATTTGTATTCATAAGATTTGCAAGGATGCAACACTTCTAGTCCAAAATACTTAAAGCACTTAAAGGGTACATAAACCAGTACAATGGTGATATAATAAACAATTAAAGAAGACCTATTGACATGTTCATAAATCAAATGTAAGCACTGGATTGCCTCCCCCTAGTTATCAATGACAACATCAATGACAATATCAATGACAATTAACACCTATAATGATATGTACCTCTTCAGCAGTAACATAACAGAGTTAGCTGTGCTGGCATCAAGCCCTGTTGTCGGCTCATCCAGGAACAGTACAGTTGGCTGGATGATCAGCTCCATGCCAATATTGGTACGTTTCCTCTCACCTCCAGACACACCGCGGATAAATTCATTGCCAATCTGCAAAAAATAGAAGAGTTTTAAAAAAGTAGTTGCACCTAAACTGAAAACACCTTATTACAATAAGGATTAAAATAGAGATTATGCAAAATCTATGGATTGAAATTTTACCCAGAAATCCATCTCTAAGATGATGTAGTTTGCATGATCACCAGGATGATATTAGACATTTTAAAATGGCAGCATTTTTTTTTTTTTTTTTTTTNNNTTTTTTTTTTTTTTTTTTGGTAAAAAAATATCAATTTTGTTTCAAGAGTTTCTCATTACAAGAGCATTGTGTCAGTTCATTTCCTTGGTGATTTTGTAGCTACTGTGTGAAAATGGTCTTCAAAACAGTATCAAAGTTATTTTTAGAAAGGGAGGGCTCCATTCCATCCGCTAAAAATATTTTCAACCTATTTTCCCTACAGGGGGTTATCAATTTGGTGCAAAAGAAAATTTAAAAAACTGAGATGCTCTTGTTCCTCAAATGTTCCATAGCAATCATTAAAAATGCCAACACTAACAAGTTCATGAGACATCAGACACTGCCAACCTTAGTGTCCGCACAATGTGTCAATCCTAGATCATGTATTACTCTCTCAACACGTGCTTTTCTCTCTTCCTTGGTCACTGTCTTTGGGAGGCGTAGTGCTGCAGAGAACTGGAAGTTCTCCTTAACTGTGAGAGTTCCCATAACAACATCATCCTATAAACATATATACAAGTAGTTTATTCAGTTTGTATTTGGTGTGGGAAAGAAATAAGAATTACTCTACCATTAACCAAGTATTAGCCATAGCTATTAAAGTAAAAAAAATTACCCAATTAATACCATAATAAATTGGTAAACTAATAAAAGACATCTTTCATTCATTTTCTTCAGACAAAGTAAACACATGTAAGTTTAAAGGGATAAAAACTGTTCATTTTGGCCAAAAAATAAATTTTTCTGGGGTAAACAGCAATTTTCCCATACTTACCAATGGTTAATGAATCCATTTCTACATTCAAAGTTAGTCCCCTTTTTTTTCTAAAAGGTTTGTTTTTTTGTTTTTTGTTGTTGTTGTTGTTGTTTTTTTTTTTGTAATAATCTCTTAAGAGTTGTTTATAGTGTATTTAATGTGAAATATAGATCTCACATGTTGTTATCCCTTTAGTTTTCGGATTTATTAAAAAGCTTTTCATGCTAGTGTGACCAACTTATAATTAAGACACTCTATTCTTATAAACCTGCACAACATATCCAGACATGCACTTGAAATTCTCTGGCTGAGGATGCCCATCCACTAGTAGTAACCCACTCAGGCCTTTCTTCTCTTTCCTGCCAGCAAGCACGTCTAATAAGCTGGAATAACAGAGGAAAATATAAATGATTATGATTTAAATGACATGAATAAATAATAATGTACACGCCCACTTATCGTGCTTATATAGAACTACAAATACGTACTAAGTTAGCTGATGCACCTCTGGGATACACCGTACAAATAGGTACAGTATAAACAGTACACTGCACAGAAATTATGTATATAAAGAGACTTTCAGACAAAAGAGTAAAATAAAATGCAGCAGTTTGCTTCACCAATGAACGCTTTTTTTTTTTTTGTCTTAATTGACCATACCTTGATTTTCCACTTCCAGTTGGTCCCAGGATGGCATTCATTCCAGGCTTAAAAATACCACTGAAAAGTTAATGTTGAAAGTGTATTATAACAGTCAGTCTACACTGTCATAAAATACTGGTAAGAAATTATATGTAGAAAACTAATGTTAATCATTAAATATTGTTTACTATAGACTTTATTGGGCATACCAGTATATATATATATGGCAATATTGTGAATTTTATTTAAATATATACATAATCAACTTTGATCGGGGGATTTGCTATGGGGTAGACAAGTGTGGTACTTTTAAGTCGTTTTAAGGATGTTAATAAACTATGTGGTTTTTAGATTCATTGGCGAGCCAGAGTACGTGTATATAGGCTTTCAAGACTAGTCATATGACATATCATATGTTGTGTGAGCTTTTCCTCTGTGGCAACCGACCGAGATTGCAACTGTAATTTAATACCTGACATCTTTGAGTATGTGTTTGTCCGCGCTGCCACCACAACAACCCTTTGACACCTGTACTGTGTAGCCAATACGATGGAAAGAAACCACCGAGCCTTGGACAGCCAGACCCTCCTCTGGCATCACAACACTAGTGCTGCCGTATCCGCCGTTGGCCTGATGAGGTTCGCTGGCAAGATCTGTTGGCTTTTGCAGAATCGGTTCCTGTTTGTTAAAAGAAACAGCTGTCATTTCAACGCCATCATTTGCATCCATTTTGAGTGCTACAGTATGAACTGTTTTGCAAAGGACATTATAAATAATAAATTGAGCATGTGTTGTAGCTATCACAGGCTAGTTACGTAATTAGTTTATGTTTGTACCAATAGGTGGGGCTATGTTGACAACTTTTTGAAGACAAGCCTAACCTGAGTATAGTGGAAAAAGGGGGTGGACCTTGATTACCGCTTGCATGGTTATAACGTTAACTAGGCCCAGCATGTAAATGTACGCGTTTTAATTGTCACTGTTTCATTGATTGGAAATTTAAGGCATCGACTGGGGGGGGGGGGTTCTATCTCTGAAACTCAGCGTAGCGTAGCGCATTCTACTTCGTCCAATCCACACCTCCCACAATTGGCCCATCAACCCTGTGAACTATATATTTCATTCATTTAAAATTTTTATTTTTCGGGGGTTATAAGTAAATCCATAGCCTGTGGTCACGAGAGGTATTCGAGCAACATACCAAGCAGACCAATGGTCGACATCATTTTTGCTGTAATTTTATTAATTTAATGATTTATCCATTCAGTCAGTCATAAAATCAGTATAACAATCGAGACAATTCACATAATTTGTTTTATGCTCAAACTCCTATTTTAAATTCGTTTATTTTTTATTTTGAACTTCTATATCAGTGCTCCTAAACATTAATTAATTATTTTTTATTTATTTACATACTGGAGTAGGCCTATGTGTAATTACAAAAAGGTCCTATGAAGGATCGTTTTAGAAAGCGCCATATGGTCCCAAACATACCTTTTCCCCGTGTGTCATTTTGTTTTCACTCCTGTAAATGCGTTTCGGTGGTCTTCTATAACTGTTGTCAGACTGTATGGTACACCTCCAGCTGATGTGAGAAGGAACCCTCGCGTGTCCTTGTATATATTAGGGTATATTACTTGTCTAATTTACAAAACAGTTATTGTTACGTAAATATGAATAAGGCATTTTCAATTGTAATGGGCGATCTTTATACCGTTAAGGCCTTTGGCCTGCCAAGGTTGGGCTAGATATCAGTCAGTTGTGTAAGTATAAGATAACGCCCTTCAACACATTATATGGTATATATGTATCTATAGGAGGTTTAGATACTCATTCTTATCGCCATCTGGTCTAAAAACGTGACATGTTATTTTTGTTATCGTACAAAACGAATAAATAGATCTCTACTGTTCCTTATAGCGTTAAGATAGGCTACATTTACATGTCATAGGATAAATCAATCAATCATTAAGAATAAGGTTTTAGGTTTTACAATATTTCTATGGCTTGAGAGATTCATTCTAAATTTCTGCGTTTGAAAATTCTGGTGTATTTTTTCATTTTATATTTTATATATGGTAGGTGGATAAGGGAGACCGGGGCTAGTTGGACCCCAGGGTAAGTTCGCCCCCAATCAATTTATGACAAAGTAACTATGGGATAAAAGAATTGATCACATCATATTGTTTGTAAAGCGTCGGCAGTGAGTCCAAATTAAATAATTTAGCATCTTCAAGTAACTTTATTAAAGAGACTTAATTTATGGGGGGCCACCACGCGGGACGAAGAGCAATGATGATGATGATGACCTTACCCCGGGATCCAACCCTAAGTAGGCCTACATGTACACTGTAGGTGGTACGTACTCTTTTCCGTCATCTGTTCCTCTCAATTAAAATATATGCTTGGAGTTGATCCTTCAGGTAATTTTCATTCAAGCTCCATCAAGCGTTGTCTCATATTCCGAAAAGATGAATTAAATGGTGTTTATAAATTTATTTATCTTTATTTGTAACGCGTGGCAATTTATACTGATTTTAATGCAAGCCTGTACAATCCCAAATCATCTTTTCCAAACCGGTCTGTCACGCGGAGTTTTTAAAAAGATGTAGGCCTACTTGCAATTTTTAGAAAAAAAAGTATACCCAAAGTTTTGTAAGCGTTTTTTTTTTATTTTTTTTTTATTTTTTTTTTTTTTTTAAGGCAAGCAACATTTAATATATTAAACACATAAATTATCTAAACTAGTGATAAACCACAGAGGGTTTGGCTGGTTTGTATTTCGTGTGTACAACCCACCGATCATTGGTGCTTAAGTCATAAAAAAATGATCGTGAAATACGGCGGCCAGAATGTTTAGGAGCGGGGCTGGTAATTATAACTTTTTACATAGATAATCTGTGTAATCTTTTAGCAGTCACCAACCTCTCAAAAGGCCAAATATTTTACTGAAAATTTAACAATGTGGTAAGCAAAACTGCTGCCCCCTAGTGTCAATTTTAAGAAGTAACTAAAATCGGATGCTACAAAGAATGGGAATGTGGCAGAAAACTAAAGAATTCATGGCCTATTGGTATCTGCAGTATATCATGAACACTGCCCTGTATATGCTGGAGCCTTGGGAGAGGAAGCTTTTCAGTATCCTTTTAATTTAATGCCAGGTATCAATGTTAAACGCTAGTGTTAGTGTTGGGTTGGACTCATCTTTCATTGTCACCAACAGTGACAACGACGAGGATCCATTAGTTGCTAGGTATAAAAGTAATTCTTTGCTTAATCTGTGTGAAATTATCTGAATCCCATACGTAGATGGGACTAGGGTTCGTGTGTGATCTCGCGTTTTCAGATTGGGTAGTAACTTTGTAATAAGTGTGTCATAGCCTTGGCTAAGCTCAATTTCCTTACCTTATCTCTTGCTAGTAGCACTACAGAACAATGTCCAAAAGAGTCCACATCATCAGTCTCTGGCATTCTTCTTCGTTATATATACATTTACAATAGTAATAGCTCTATAATGAATACAAGAAAAGAGAGTGCTTGAGACTGGATATTTGATCTAGCCATGAGACTGAGACATTCTGTACCATTGTCAAATTCTAAATAACCCTTTGTACTTTATATTGCATATATGTAGATGATTTAATCATTTTCATTGTGGGTATCCCATGTTTGAAATTGACAGCAGTGGGATTATTCTTGCTGAGGCTGTGCAATTTTTCCTTAATTTGTCTCCCAGATTCTGGTTTGATGGTTGTAATTGCCATGTCCTTGTACACTACATCTTGCTTCCTACCAGGACATTTTCTGATGCTGTGGAAATATATTCTCTATCTCGTAGGACTGGAATCACAAGAAACAACTCTTGGTGGCATGGAAACATTAAATGATACCCCAGTGACATCATAGCAAAAGGTTTCTGTCTGGATTAAGAAAAAATTTATTAAAACTGGTGATGAAAATAGTATGGATACATGGATACAAAGCACAATAAAAGGTTTCAGAACAGGATGGATGAAAGTACAGCAAAAAAAATCCAAAATGTCTCTGTTCAAGTGGGCAAAGAAGAACTATTTGGTCCAGGTGTGATAATGAGCAGGGAATGTGCCTGTTGAATGAGGGCCATACATATAGAATGTGGTATCACATTGCTTCACATTGCCTGAGGGAAACCTGTTGCTTTGTCAGCGTGGCCATTGAGATATAGAGGTATCAGTATTCCCAGTATATATTCAAGACCAGCCAGGGACAGACTTGAATGTAACTACACTGATAGTTCAGGAAGAAGCGCATTGAAAAAATGCTCTACAGTGGTTACTAACATAGTTACTTAGATATACTTTCAACTGCTTCAGGCTCTGAGGTTTTCATTTTGATGTCATATATATAGGATTTGATATAGGTAAAGTGGAACTCTTTTATGCTTGGTTAAACTCAAACCATGAAAGTACTCCTGCTGTAATCAGTAGATATATTTTTCTTTGAAAAATAAGCAAGGACTATATATCACTGTGTAACGATTATGGAGGATTTGATTACTAGTAATTGTCTATGAACTGAATAGTCAATATGTATGTAAATGGCTATACCTATTTTGGTCCTGCTATAAATGGACATGTTTCAGCATTTTGCTTTTGACAATGGATAATGGTATTTACACCCAAGAAGAGTTGACATCTCATTGTCATCTCATTGTCAAAAAAAGGGGGGGGACATGATTTACATTGGTGTGACAATGCAAAGTAAAATTGTATAATACAAACATATGTACCAGCACATTTTTGTTGTATTTTGTTTATTTTAAGGAAAACCTAGTTACACTTGTGAGAGATTTTTACACATGTTTTTATTACATTATTTTCATGGCGTGCATTTTTGCATTTTCTGTCTTTGAAACTAAATGTTATAATTGGGTAGCTATCACATCCACAAATTTCGCCACATCCACCCCCTAGATACAGCCTCACCCAGGGATCGTGTGCTGTTACTGTTGTCCCCTACTTTGGAACAAGGTAAACATTTTGCATT